TACTGCAAAATAATACTAGATTTTTGTGGTGAATAAAAATTAAGATGAAACAAAAAAAAAAGAACTACCTACCTACTTGAGCTTCTTATATTTCTAGGACAACTTTTTCTTCTTTTAAGTTTTTTTTTCCTCTTAACTGCTCACTAATTTATTTCATATTTAGCCATAAAGTTCCAATGTACTACAGTCTAAATTTCATTCATTGTTCAATGCAACCAAATATGGGATGCAAATTGCAAATTATGGAGATTTTTATGACTACTCTTCATTCCTAAACTGTATAAAGACCAAAACGCAATTAACTAATGATGTTGATCGCCTACTAGCCTTAATTCACTTTTCAATATGAAACTTAAACCACTCAATCTTATATATCATGCACACGCATAGTATATGTTACATAAGCTAAAAGAAATAGAGAGAGAGAAACAATGGGGCTTGGAGTGATAACAAAATGTTTCATAATTCTTGTAGTTTTTCGTTTTGCATCGATTGCTCTTGGAGATGAGGTAGCAATAGACAAAAGATGCGACCAAACAGTTCGGCACCCTAGCCAATGCAAGAATCTTATGATTCAATATCTAACCCTGAAAACAACCACGACTGAGTTCCTAGAGGTGTACGTAGAACAGACACTAGACGGATCCGTGAAAGCCAAGAGCGACACCTACTCACTCGGGTCACAGTTAAAGCAAGGCCAGAAGGAAGCGTGGGAGGACTGCATGGATCTGTACGACCAAACCATCTATAGACTCAACCAGTCTGTGTCGTGTCTAAAGAAGGTCTGCTATGGCTCGGACGTGCAGACATGGCTCAGCACCGCACTGACAAACCTGGACACGTGTCGGGAAAGGATGTCAGAGGTCGGTGTCTCATCTCATTCCTTGCAATCCGTGTTACAGAGCATCACCGTAGATGTCATTAATGCCTTGGCCATTAGCAAGGTAAAAACTCTTTCGCAAGTGAAATTATGCAGCTTTGGTTATCGATCATCTACTGGAATAAAATCGATTCATCTCCTTCCTCGAATTTGGGCTTTCAAATTGGGTTTTTCAAGTTGGGCTTTCTAGCAATCTGGTTCAAAATAGATTCACAATGTGGGCTAATTACTAGAGTGGGCTTTATGTAATGTTTGGCAACTCTTTCTACCTTTTAATATGCAATCAAATTTTAACAAAAACCAGAACTCTTTGATTCTCAAATTAGCTAGTCTTTTTTTTAAAAAAACATGTTTTTGGAGGATATACATCATTAAAAAGAATGAGAAAATCGAATTTATGAAAAGTGATATAAAATATGTAGATGGCCATATGACATAATGCATGTGTCTTCGAAAGAATCTAATGAAAAAATTGTAACAGTACATTACAAAGAAATGACACAGGCAATTCGAAAGAATATAATATAATGTCAAACTTCTGTCTAAAATTGTATTTTTCACAATTTTATTTTGGTTTTTGAGAAGCAAAGCAAAGCTATATGTCCCCTCTTAGTATAATAAAACCTTTGATTGAAACAGGGGATGAAAAGAAAGTTTGGAATATTAAAAGCACTACCAATTGAATCGCCGTCGACTAATGGTGGAAGGGTGGATGTAGTGGTGGCTAAAGACGGCTCAGGCGACTACAAGACGATCCAAGAAGCTGTTGATGGTGCGGGAAAGAGAACCAAAACAAGCCGTAGATACGTTATACGTGTGAAACAAGGCACTTACGAGGAATATGTGATTGTCGGAAGCCAATCAAACAATATTATGATCATCGGCGACGGTATTGGCAAGACCGTAATCACCGGCGACAGAAGCAACGGCACCGGATTTAGCACTTACGAATCCGCCACCTTTTGTTAGTCACTCACTCACTCATTTCTATTAGTCTCTTTACAGAGTAAAGTATACATTGATGATAAATGTTCAAAGCTATTATTGTTTGACAGTGGCTAAGGGGGACGGTTTGGTGTTGAAAAACATGACAATAAGAAACACTGCAGGACCGGAAAACAAACAAGCGGTGGCTCTACGTTCGGATTCGGACGCCTCAGCGTTTCACAGATGCAGCTTCGAAGGGTTCCAGGATACACTCTACGTCCGCGCTAGCCGTCAGTTCTTCAAAGAGTGCGATATATACGGAACGGTTGACTTCATCTGCGGTTACGCAGCGGTTGTCTTCCAAGACTGTCAGATATTCGCACAGAGACCGTCCGGCGGAGTCAACACAATAACAGCGGAGAACCGGGTCAACACGAATCATACGGGTGAGATCGTAATACATAACTCGGTGGTGAAAGGAGCTCCGGATGTACGGCTCGGAGGCGTGAAAACGTATCTCGGTCGTCCGTGGTCAGTGTACGCACGGACGATGGTGATGAAGACGCAACTTGACCGATTGGTCGATCCCAAAGGATGGCTTCAGTGGGGCAACAGAAGGGACATTAGCAGCATGTATTACGCGGAGTATAGGAACTGGGGTCCCGGTTCGGGTACAGAGAACCGGGTAAAGTGGCCCGGGTTTCACGTGATATCGGATGTACAAGAAGCTCGTCGGTTTACGGTACGTAATTTCATCGACGGTGCCTCTTGGTTGCCAGAAACCGGAGTGCCGTTCTCCGTTGATCTCTAAAACTTTTGTATAAAAATTTGTAACTTGCATTGATTATTACATGATGTCGGTGGTTTATATTACAACTTAACCACTTGTTCTTGTTTACCCGCCGATTGATTATTTCAAGCTCAAATTTGCATTGCATTCAAAGCCTAAGGAACGTCAATTCCAACAACAATTCCATTACGTTGACTGAACTGAAGATGATTCCCAATTTTCATTATTTTCTTTTGCACAAAGTAGAAACGAATCTCACAAATCTCTCTATACATTAACAAGTAAACAAAAACAATCACAAATATCATAGTCGCTGTAATTTGTTGAATCCAGAATTCTCTGGCGAAACCAGACCTCCAAGTCGTCACCGTCAACAATAGCCTCACCGCGGATTCAAACCTTGCTCGTACCACCGGCTTAACCAAAGTTTGGGTTCTTCTCTCCGGCAATTGATTACAATTGTGGAAGAAGATGATTTTTTTTTTTCTTTTCGATGAATCAATGGCTGATAGCGACACTCCTCTTAGAAAAGTCAAAATGTCTCAACAAAAACCTTCGATATAACAGTGATTTTTTTTATAATTTATTTTAAACATAAAAACAAGGAGATTACAATAAAACCATGTTTAAACTATAACCCTTGATTTAATATGTTATATGTTAGTGGATTTAGTTTTTAGATAGAAGCCCAACCAAATATTTACGTCCGTTAATTTTATTTTTTTATAACCACTGTAGTTCTGTGTTTGTTATTTATAAATGACGTTGGCCGACCAAAAAAAAACAATAAAATCATGTTAAACTAACAAAATTATAAACCCAGCCGGTCAATATCCATCCGATTTCTGACCTAATCGGATTCAATCCGGATCGCAATAAGATGGAAAATTACAAACAAATGAACATTTGAATATTTATTTAGCTAACTTATATTCTGAAATAAATTTGTTTGGTAATAGGCATATAGAAATTAATGAAAATAAAAAAATAAAATAGGTGAGAAAACTTGTGAGTTTGACACATTATCAAAAATTGGTCTCCAATGTTTCTCTACTTTAATATATAGAAAATAAAATGACAAAAAACTATCATAATATCTCACCTTTTCTAATTTCTATTTTCATTATTAATTTCCCTTATAAGAAAAAA